CACACACACACACACACACACACACACACACACACACACACACACACCCCTCCTTACACACCTCTGTGGCCCCAGTAACGTGGAATAAGTCTGCAAAGGTAGGCTGGGGCCAGATCTGAAGGGCTTTAAAAGGTGGTGTGCAGTGGATAGAGGGCTGGAAGAGTCAGGAAGACTCATCTTTATGAGTTCAGATCTGGTTGCAGACATTTACTAGCTGTGTGACCCTGGGCAAGTCACTTCACCCTGTTTGTCTCAAGTTTCCTCATCTAGAAAATGAGCTGGAGAAAGAAATGGCAAGCCACTCCAGTATCTGTGCCAAGAAAACCCCAGGTGGGGCCATAGAGAGTCAGACATGACAGAGAATGACTGAACAATGAAAGCCAAAATGGCCCTAGGACAGATGATGGAGTGGGGGCACCCACAGGTTGTGGATAGGGTCAGTCTGCCCCACACAACTGTGTGATCCTTGACACTGGCTTCTTCTTCTGGTCCTCAGCATCACCATCCCCCGTGCTGAGGGCGCTCACCTCCCTGCTCACTTCTGCTAGTTGACTTCCTTCAAATCTCAGATAAAACCCCACCTCCTGCAAAAGGCCTTTCTCGGGTTTTCCGCCAGGACTGCCTTCCCTCCAAAATCCCTTCTGGTTTACTTGTCCTGGTCTTGATCCTATATAGCTGATCTTTCATGTTTCCCATCTTAGATCTTGAGCCCTGAGAAGACACTGTGGGACCTTAATAAATGATTATTGATGGACTTCAATGTCTCGTGGGATCATAGATTCCAAACTTGAAGGGTCACTAGAGTCCAAACCTCTCATCTAACCCAGAAAGAAACTGAGACCCAGAGAGAGGGAGGGATTTGCCCAAGGTAGAAAATGGGGGCTGTAGGATTTGAACCCAGGTTTCTCTGCTCCAGAACTATTTGCTCTGGGTTACCTCCACCTGTGTGTGTCTCTTCAAGTGGATTTGGGTGTGTCTCTGTGTGTGTGTGTGTGTGTCTTTGGGCAGTGTCTGCTTGTGCGTGATGATATGACCCTCTTTTTCCTTGACGTGGAAACTGCCTTCCTGGTGTCTTGGTGATCGCTGAATGTTTGGGGCTGTAAACACTGTCTCTTTGGGTCCCTTCATCCTAAGGAGTAGGCTGGCCCCGCCTTGATCCATGTCAGGGACCAGAGGAGTGTGGCAACCCTATGGTCTGTGGTTCACTTCTGCCCTTGAGTCTGGGTGGGTCAGGATTCCCTGCCTGGGCGGGCTGCTTTTGCAACCCTACTATGTTCAATTCTGATCGAGTTTCAACTTCACCAGCTGCCTTGGGATTTTCTTTCTGGGTGTGTTACGTATGGTGTATATTTTGCCGTTGTATTTTGTCTCTTCCATTCAAATGTAAGCTCCATGAGGGCAGGAACTAAGACCTTTTTGCTTTTGTATTCTCTGCACCCAAGACTGCCTCAATGCTTGTTGGATGGCCAATTAAAGAAATCCTAAAATCACTAGATTTCGACGTGAGAATCAAAACGAATCCTCCAGGCTCCAAGGGATCTCCAAGCGTGGCTCATTCAGCCCGCACCGACGGGTTACACAATCCTTAAGTCCTGCAATTTCACCCTGGCCACCGAGGCATGGCACAACGTCTCTGACCTAGACAGCTGACTCTGAAAGTGGCTAGGGTCCTGACCTTCGTGCTAAGGCAGCAGACGCGATGACTGACAGTCACTGGGTCTTGTACAACAGACAGTCACTGGCCCCAGATGGGAAGATGGCCTGCTTGCTAGGACTTAGGAAACCCAGGGTGGAAGTCACAGCACAGGGAGGCATCAGATAGGGCTTTGGGAGCCAAATAGAAATCAATAAGTGTAGCATCTACAAGCATTTAGTAAGTGCCTGTTGCATGCCAGGCCCACTGTGGGGAGCGCCAAGGCGAAAATGAGACAGTCCCTGCCTTCAAGGGGCTTACATTCCACCAAGGGAAGGTTGGATTAAATCAAACAACAGGCATTTATTAAGTGCCTACTATGTGCTAAGCCCGATGCTAGGTGCTGGGGATACAGAGACAAAAGCGAGACAGCCTCTGCCCTCAAAGGGCTTCCATTCTACTGGGGGATCCAGCAGATTCATAAATGAGAAAACATCAGATTTAGGGTGCAGTCCGGCTCTCTGACCTCATTAGTATAGGCTGCTTTCTAAGGAATGGGCAGCACTTTTAATGCAAC